CTCAGGAGGTGGTTGAACCCCATTTTTACAACATACTAAATGCCTATTTTTCAAGTGAGGGTCACACCACAATTTCACAACATACTATAGTGAAGCATATTTTTCAGGAAGTTGTCGGACCCCATTTTTATAACATACTATAATAAGGCATATTTTTCAAGAGAAGGTCGGACCACAATTTTACAACACACTATAGTAAGGCATATATCTCAGGAGGTGGTTGAACCCCATTTTTACAACATACTAAATGCCTATTTTTCAAGTGAGGGTCACACCACAATTTCACAACATACTATAGTGAAGCATATTTTTCAGGAAGTTGTCGGACCCCATTTTTATAACATACTATAATAAGGCATATTTTTCAAGAGAAGGTCTGACCCCATTTTTACAACATACTATGGAAAGGCACATTTTTTGGGAGAGGGTCAGACTCCATTTTTACCACATAATATAGTGAAGCACGTTTTTCCGGACAAGGTCGGACCCCCTTTTTACCACATACTATAGTAAGGCAATAGTCTGTTGTGAAATGTTGGGTAAAATTATTAACAAAGTTATACTCTAGGATTGGTTCTAACATTTGATTGAAGTAAGTACTTATTTAGTAGAAGATTGACACCATGACTGTTGTTCATTTATCCTGTGTGTTCACTTTGTTTGTGTATAACTATTCTACCATATTAGAAAAGGAATAGTTAAGATTATATTTTAGAAATACATAAGTTCACATACTTACATGTCACAGATATGTTTATGAAGTTACTATTCACCACATTATATGTTCACTAACATGATGAGAAAATAAGTTACTGTATGCATACTGAAAAACTTTGTGCGATATTACAGGCCCATGAGATTAAAAGTGTGGTGCACTGCGTAGCTCTCCAAGGTCTCATCATCCCACAGGATTACATTAGATTTGTTGCCTTTTCTCCACAGAGCTCATTATTCCCTCTGAGTTTTGAAGCCAGGGGAGTTAGGATTTGATAAGATACTAAAATTTACACCAAAGTTATAATCAGATTTTGGCCTAGAAGAAACAGCTGCCTGGTAAAATAGCTATTTTCATACACACACAGGCGGTGCTAGGTTTTCCTCCCTCTCTAGGAAAACTGTCTTTCCTCAGGTGGAGCAGGGAGGACCTTGGGAAATGGATGGACTGAAGGACCAACGAAACAGCACGAGAGGCATCAGATCAACCTACTTTGCACATTTCAAAACGTATAAGAAATTGGGTTACCAGGAGGGTAGGTGTTCCCTCTCGTCCTGAAGACGAGTTGAACGGTTTTGCTGTTTAGGATCAGGGCTTCAGATAGAGACGGAACCCAGAGCTCTGTAATTGCTTTTCATTAACATTGTAATAAATGTTTTAAAGGTTGTTCTGATTTTGACTCTTCCTCAGAAACGAACATGCAGGACGGTTAAGTCCAACAGCATATATTTCGGGAGAGGGTCAGACAACATTTTTACCAAATACTATAGTAAGGCATATTTTTCAAGAGGTCGAACCACAATTTTACGACATACGGCATAAGGTATATTTTTCAGTACAGGGTCAGACCACAATTTTATGACATACTATAGTAAGGAATATTTTTCGAGAGGTGGTCAGACCCCATTTTTACAACATAATATAGTAAGGCATATTTTTCAGGAGGTGGTCGGACCACAATTTTATGACATATTATAGTAAGGAATATTTTTCAAGAGAAGGTCAGACCTGTTAGGGTGATTTTTATTTTACGCACTTATGAATTGTTTTATTTTATAGCACACTTAAGTTTACATACCTATATGTCACACTTATGTTTACATAGTTACATATCACCCTATGTGTTCACTGAACCACTGGTCAATATTTACTGTATTAGTCACTGAAGCACTGTTCAACATTATAGGGTCTTTTCCACTAAATTACTAAATCTCATTAGATTTACAGGTCTGGCTAAGAGAGTCCACAGTGAATTTATTATCACCATTGGGCTAGTGGAGCCAGGGGAGTTACGGTTCACTGGGACTCCAAGGTTAGTTAAACAGGAATTAGATCTGGAGGCTAGCGGAGGAGAAAGCTTCAAAGGTAGGAACAGTATGCACCCACACACACCCAGGCAGAACAGTTTTAATTAGTGAAACGGAAAGCAAAGCCTAATATGAAGCAGTTAGTTGGAAGGAAGAAGTGAGTGTGTATGTAATTAAGGCAGTATAGGTATTCTTCCCCTTCCTAGGGCACTGTGCTCGACGATTGGAGCAGAAAGGACGTTGGAGGATGGACGGACTGAAGGATGGGAGAGTTAAGTCTAAACCACGGCTTCTCCCCAACAGTTTTTGACCAATTAGATAGTAGCACCTTTTTCATAGAAATATTGTATACCGATAAGTTGAGGACAGTCTTTTCTGTTTTTCCTAAACAGTGAAGATCCATGTGCACATGCTTATTTTGATACGTTAATGCATAATAAATTTCACACTGAGAAATATCCTTTTATTAGTCTTCTCTTTTCAAAATAAAAGAACACGCCTCACAGACCCTATTTTTACGACATACTATACTAAAGCATATTTTTCAGGAGGTGGTCGGACCCCATTTTTACAACATACTATACTAAAGCATATATTTCAGGAGGTGGTCAGACCCCATTTTTACGACATACTATAGAAAGGCATATTTTTCAAGACAAGGTTGGACCACAATTTTACCATATTCTATAGTAAGGCATATTGTTCGGGAGGTGGTCAGACCTCTTTTTTACCACATACACCATAGAAAGGCACATTTTCAAGAGAAGATCGGACCCCATTTTTACCACATACTATAGTAAGGCATATTTGTCAGGACAGGGTCAGACCCCAATTTTTATCACATACTATAAAGGCATATTTTTCGGGAGGTGGTCAGATCCCATTAGTAAGGAATATTTTTCGGGACAAGGTCGGACCCCTTTTTTACAACATACTACATAAAAAGGCATATTTTTCAATAGAAGGTCAGACCACAATTTTACAACAAACTATACTAAGACATATTTTTCGAGAGAAGGTCAGACCCCATTTTTACAGCATACTATATAAAAAGGCATATTTTTCAGGTGAGGGTCAGACCACAATTTTACAACATACTATACTAAGGCATATTTTTCGGGAGGTGGTCAGACCCCATTATTAAGGAATATTTTTCGGGAGAAGGTCAGACCCCTTTTTTACAACATACTATATAAAAAGTGTAGAAAGAAATTCTTGATAAAATGATATAGTGCTATGTTATGTATTTGCAAAACTGTTCAAATAATTGTTTAATCTGTTTGACCTTTGTAAAGATTTGACCTGTGGACATGAAATGCTTTGGGTAGGTACAGAGAGACTCAGAACAACAGGAAGTTGTGCAGATACATACTGAGATGACTAAACTGTCTGCACGAGAATTGTGTGTGGGTGTAAGGTCTTATTGTCTTGGCTTCAGATTATCAACATTTATCAACATTATATGAAATGCGTGGCCTTATAGGATTGACATTATAATCTGCATTAGCAAATATATCTACAAGTTTACTTTAGTATCATATGCTTTATGATTTACTTTTGTTTTAACCAGTTCACTTGTCTTTAAGAATATAGGAGACATGTGTAAGGCTGTAAGAGTAGACAGGAAACCACATACAGGAAGTAGACCACAGTTGCATAGCAACGCTCGAGGTGCTTCCTCTAAAACTGTCTATTGAAAGGTGTTCTGAGAATGTCACAGATCAAAATCTGCCTGGCGACAAGATCACCAAATGAAGGGTCAGAACGAGGTCAACAAACCAACCAAGGAACGAGGATGAAGGACAGCATGGATGACGTCAGATCTACCATCATGACTATTATAAATTCTCTGTGCAGAGGAAACTCAGGGTTCCGGCTTCCTGCAGCAGCTATGCACTAACTTCTGTGTGTGTTAGGACTTCAGATAGAAATGGAATCCAGAGCTCTGTAATTGCTTTTCTTCATCAAGGTTGTAATAAATATATAGGTTGTATAAAAGTTCTTCTGACTTCGACTCATCCTCAGAAATGAACATGCAGGACGCTTAGGTCCTAACAAAAGGCATATTTTTCAATAGGTCAGACCACAATTTTACAGCAAACTTTGCTAAGGCATATTTTTCGAGAGAAAGTCGGACCCCATTTGTACAACATACTATATAAAAAGGCATATTTTTCAGGACAGGGTCATACCCCATTTTTTACCATATATTATAGTAAGGCATATTTTACAGGAGGTGGTCAGACCCCATTAGTAAGGAATATTTTTCGGGAGAAGGTCAGACCCCCTTTTTACAACATATTATAAAAAAGGGATATTTTTCAATAGAAGGTCAGACCACAATTTTATAACAAACTATGCTATGGCATATTTTTCAAGAGAAGGTCAGACCCCATTTTTACAACATACTATATAAAAAGGCATATTTTTCAGGTGAGGGTCAGACTACAATTTTACGACATACTATACTAAGGCATATTTTTCAAGAGGTCGGACCCCTTTTTCATGACATACTATAGAAAAACATATTTTTCAATACAGGGTTGGAACACAATTTTACATCAAACATACTAAGGGATATTTTTCAGGAGGTCGTACCCCATTTTTACGACATACTATAGAAAGGAATATTTTTCAAGAGAAGGTCAGACGCCATTTTTACAACATACTATAGTAAGGCATATTTTTCAGGAGAGGGTCAAACCCCATTAGTAAGGAATATTTTTCGGGAGAAGGTGGGACCCCTTTTTTACAACATACTATATAAAAAGGAATATTTTTCAATAAAAGGTCAGACCCCATTTTTACCACATACTATAGAAAGGAATATTTTTCAAGAGAAGGTCGGACCACAATTTTATGACATACTACAGACTGCCCTACTGACTGCCATTCATACAGCAGATTAATGCAGGTAAAGCGATTAACCATTTTACTAATCAGTTGTAATATGTTATACACAAATAGTATTCACGTACCACAGTCAGGGATGTTACAGTAGTCCCACTTCTTGTTCCTGTCAGTAGTGTAGCACCACGGTCCATTGAGATCATTGTCAGGGTTTCTGCAGCTCTGATGGGGACAAAAAAAAACAATCAGTGAACTACAAAGCCAAAAAAAAACTGTCCTTTTCGCAAATGTTTGACAACTCAGAATAGTTTCTACAGACACACACACACTTACATTGCCCTCCAGACCCTTGTCAGGGTGACTCTGTGGAGTGAAGCTGTTGTGTTGGTGAGGCGTCTGAGCACTCCAGGCCTGGCAGGTCACGCCCAGAGTGGTGATGGAGGTTGGACCTCGGTATGTGTCCCCATTTCCAATCTTACAGTCTAACACAGAAACGAGAGGGTGAATGCATTATAACAACCTGACAAGTAAAAGCCAACAACCACATTTAAAAAGTCAGCTTACTTTTCTGTTCTGAGGGCAGGGTGACGGAGGAGGGGTCCTGGGCTACAGGAGCTGAGGTGGGTGATGCTCCTGAGTTGATGGGGCATTTCTCCAAGTTGCAGTACTCCCAGCGGACACTAGGATCTGTGGTGTAACACCAAGGAGCTCGATCTCCATCAGGGTTTCTACACAAATTTCTGCTGAGGTCCCTGTTGAAAAAGAAAACCTGGAATGTCAGACCAGCAGGTACCAGTTAAATCATCCATCCATCCATCCATTTTCCTCCGCTTATCCGGGACCGGGTCGCGGGGGCAGCAGTCTAAGCAAAGATGCCCAAACTTCCCTCTCTCCAGACACTTCGTCCAGCTCCTCCGGGGGAATACCGAGGCGATCCCAGGCCAGCCGAGAGACATAGTCCCTCCAGAGTGTCCTAGGTCTACACCGCG